AACAATAGGGAGTCCACGATTGAAGGCGTTTACACACGTGTGTGTGTGTGGGGTGGGGGGACAGGATGGCCTATGCGCCTGTTCAGGTGACAATGGGGTAAAACCCAAAGCTAATACTGATTTGGCATCCATTGCAATCTCGATGTCGTTTTCTGTTGTTGAAATTCCAGCAACTATGGATTGTTCCTTTCTTTCGTTTTCATTTCATTTTTTTCCTGCTTCTATTTTTCGGGCAGACCTGTCTAACAAGAGTAAGTGACAGATCAAACATTCACATTCAAGAAAAGGAGCGGCAGATGCGACGCATTTGTGGTAACTTTTGGGGTAACCCAAGAAGATATGGGACGTTTTTTTTTTGTGAGAATTTTTCTTTGAAAATATCAAATTACTCTGCAGTTGAAAGCCAACGAAATTTGTTGTTATAACAAATGAAAATGTATTTCCATCAATAAAATAGGAAGGTGAGTGCCGCCCGACTGTGCCACCCGTGGATCTCTTACTATTGAATCTCTGATAATAAACGTTATATGCCTGACATCTTTTATACTGAGATCACTGAGAAGAAATGGACCCAAGACGGTCGGGGTCGGNCCATTGATTGCCATTTGCATGGAGCCATGGAACGCGAAGTTAACGCACAACTTCTGCGATCGTCCAATGGGAGCCTGCAAGTCGTGCAAGTCGTGACGTCCGCCTTTGTGACGAAGTCACTCACGAACGCGATAGGGAGCGCGTACATCCCGCTCTTTAAAAATGCTGCACGCGCACAAGTGATAGCAACCGCAACGGTACACAATACTCACATCCTTTTTCAATTAACTTCTCATGGTTCACTGTTGCAATGTTTCATCTGAAACCCAATCCGAAAGTGAACAGAGGTCGGACAGAATTGCGTACTCATCATGTAGCCATATATCCCTTCAGACCGAATAAAAAACTTCATTTAAGAGAGATGTGTGCTGAAATTCTGTGGTGCACCGTTCACGATGCGCCTACCTTATCCCATTTTCAATGGCCAACTTACCTCTTGTTGTTCATACTTGCGAGCAGCAATCCCATTCGTGCAAATTGACTATGGACCCTTCCACTGAAAATAATCCTGTACCGATGGGTGATCATAACCCATAGCTTCTGTATCACTAAATATCAAATGACTGTATTTCCATATACTTTTTTTTTGGGGGGGGGTTATGCTCCTGACAGGACATATTACCACCCCTTGCCTATAGTAGTCATTATTTATTCCTTTCCATAACCATGTAATGCTTACTGCATCACACGGCAGCTCCCGAAACAGCAACATGGCAAACCCCAGCCCTCCCAGGTAACACAGACCCACACTCATGACACCCACTGTCCACTCAGAAACTCAGGCAATCCTGGACAAAATAGTTGGAATACCTTGTGGGAAGCGCGTTGCAAAGATCCCCTCTCCCTCATTCAATGTTGCGTTCATTTATTGAAGCAACATTGACCGGGGGCGATGGGGGAGGCATGTTCCAACGAGATTTGTCCAGGATTGTAGAACGTACGTGGAAAGAGAAAGCAGCTCTGGTGAGAAACATGCCGAATATTGAAGTAAAAGAGATCGCCATTTCAAAAAATTGCAGATTAGAGGGCGCTATTTCCAAAAATTGAAAAACCCTATTTTGAGAGTCAGCAGGGTTTTAAAAAGTAGAAGCAAAAGGTTTTTGTCAAATTTCAAAAAGAACTGTACTTTCGTACGAAATGTAATTTTGTGCATGCT